TAGTTCGTCCCAAAGATTCTAATGCTAATGGCGTAAATGGTCGTCTCAGAATCGGCAAGCTCCCAGAGAAGCCAAAAAAGAAGGCAGTAACCAAGAAAGCTGTACCAAAGAAAACGTCGACCAAGAAGCCAACACTGAAAGACAAGAAACCCAAGGACAAGAAGGTTACGAAAAAGCCAAAGTCGGACAAGAAGGTTACGAAAAAGCCAAAGTCGGACAAGAAACCACAAGCTAAAAATACCGCCACAAAGAAATCAGAGAAAACTACCACTAAAAAGCCGGCTCAAAAGAAAACACCCAAAAAGGCTTCAAAACCAAAGAAGCCGACAACAAAGAAACACACCACCAAAAAATAAAATGATGTACTTCGCTGCATCCAAACCAAACGGCCCTTTTCAGGGCCACCACATCCTCCAAAAAGAGAACTACCGAAAACAGTACGTGTGTCTGTATGACTGTATGTCTCTGTGTATGTATGTATTTTTTTTTTTTGCGTCAAACGTGAGTAATCCTAGAAATATACCGTGGCAAAATCCATTGTTTACTACTGTAATTAAAAATACATAAATAAATAAATAAATAAATAAATAAATAAATAAATAAATGATAGATAATATATCTACCTACATTCGTGGTTTCACATGTTACGTGATCGCATTCTGATGAATGTACCGAGAGAGGGCGCCCCCATGACAGGTGGTTTGTAAAACGTTATACGCCCATTTATATATGCACTGATTTAAGCGGGATGACAGCGCCTTCATGCGACATTGTTTCGAATATTGTTGTTGTTTACGTGACTGGTTTGGACAAGCTTCAGTACAAATCGGGATTCTGACAAGGTTACGCTCAGCCAATAAGAATTCGTTAATTTCGACCAATCACGGCCACCATATACCGGCCAATCACAATATTAATTCATTCACCAATCAGCTGGCGTGAAGCGCCGGCTAATAGAGTATAAAAATAGAGACTGCACCTTTCAAACATATTCTACTTTATTCTGACATCGAAAAAAGTACTCGTACTCTGTACTCGACATGGCACGTACCAAGCAAACAGCACGTAAATCTACTGGTGGAAAAGCGCCACGAAAACAATTGGCAACAAAGGCTGCTCGCAAGAGCGCACCTGCTACTGGCGGAGTGAGAAACCACATCGTTACAGGCCTGGCACCGTCGCTCTTCGTGAGATCCGCCGTTACCAGAAAGTA